CCGGAGCCCCCGGCCTCGCTGGGAAATCAACTGCAATGACCCAGGCCTGAGGTGTCGGAATGGAAGGCAGTGGATAGGAAAGCGGGCGGCCCCGGGCCTTTCTGGGTCTCGTTTGCCTCTAAGCCATTCCAGAAGTCAACACTTCCCAAACAGCTGAGCAGTGGCAATGAAGGCCAGCCTTTTGCCTCTTTCTGTTTTTAATATGGTTGATTTGTGTAAAACAGGAAGTGTACCATGATAATGGCATTACCTTTGAAAACTCTGAAAACCACTCGTCCCATGGACTCGAGCTAAGCTGTGCCTACCAAGTGTCCCATTGGGTGGGCCCCACTCCAAGGGGCCACGGTTTCCCTCTGCCCTGCCGGCAGAATGGATGGACCGCTCTGTTCCTAAGAGGGGGCCAAGGCTGCTTAGCCTCTCAGGCACTCCCGGCGGTGTGGGGCCTGGCACTCCAGAGGGGGAGGCTGGCCGAGTGCCCGCCTGGCGCGGTGAAGGCAGGGGAATTTACAAGGAGGTCACAGGAAACCCTCCCCCTGGCCCAGGCTTTGGTCCCAGATAAAGGACTCAATCCAAGGTGGTGGCCCCAGGCTGGGAGACTCCAGAGGAAAGGTAATTTCCTGAGACAGAGGCAGACAGGAATGTGCAAGGGGCACCGAGCTGGAGCGGGGTGGTGGGGGCTGGGGGGAGGAGATGGGTGGCCACTTCAACAGGAACTTCCACCCTGCTGTTCAACTGAATCCAAATTTCTGGTTCTGAATCACCCTGGTGGTCTCACTCAATAGACTCCTCTAGTCATTTTTCGAAACGACATTTTCTACTGAGCCCTAGAGACATTCTGGTGGAGACAGGTCTTTTGGAATCAGAGCCTAGTTTGAGGCCTGACTGTGGCTTCCTAGCTGTGGAACCTCATGCAGGCTGCTTGAGCCCTGCCTCATGGAGTTTACATGAGGATGGAATGCAGTTGTGAATACGGAGAACCCAGCAGTAGTCAGATCCCTGCTCTGCCGCTTGGTGTCTATACGGCCACGGGAAAGACACTGAACCAACTTCTCAGCTCTTCATCTTTCTCATCTTTGATACGGGAATAGCAGTACCTGTTCCAGAGCACAGCCTTCAGGGTCCAATGAAACAAACCCTTAAATTAGGTAAGCCATGACCGTAGCGTACAGTAAAACCTCAGTAAACAGTTACTATAATTACTAGTATGGTTGGAAATGGTAGCTATTATTAACATAATTTAGGAATAACATAAAACAAACATGGGGGCAAGTTTAATTTTTAAGACCCCAAGGAAATATGTCAGAACACTTCTTTCATCTCCTCTGGCTCTCGTTGATTCATTCAGTCAGCAAGAATTTATTGAGCACCTACTATGTGCTGGTCATTTTGTTAGGCACAACAGACATGGCAGTTAGCAGAACAGGCATTTGTCCTGCTCTAGAGTAGCTTGAAGTCTAATGGAAGAGTCAGACAACCTAATAGCTTTAGGAATTTAGAATTCCATAAAGTAATGAGTGCTCTGAAAAAACAGCCCAAGAATGCTGAGAACTTGAAGTAGGCAGCGCTGGTTTGGCCTGGGTGGGTCAGGTAACCTCCCAGGAAGTAAAGTTTGATTTGAGATCTGAAGATAATCGCTTCTCGGCCTTTTGGCTAAGATCAAGTGTGAGATCTGAAGATAAGGGAAGCGACTGAGCCGGTCCCTCTGTCCCTGCCTGGATCTGTAGGGGCTCAGAAGCCTGGCTGTCTTCACGCCTTGGCTCCCCTAGACTCCGGGGGTCTCATCCTGCAGGGGTAAGTTTCAGATTGTAATATTCAACGATCCCCTTCCTCCTTCCCCTTAGAGAGGTCAAGCAGAAAGGAGATCAGAGGTACAAACGCACTTGGCAGAAAGAGGCAGCAGAATGACTGAGAGAAGCGGGGCACCCGGCTGGAGACCCAACTGGAGAGCCGGCCTGGAGGCAGCTGGACGCCATGATCCAAGGCCTTCCTGGCACCTTTGCAGACCTGGTGGACAGGAGCTTGCGTTTTTCCTGCCCTAACTTCAAATTCCTTGGGACAACTTCGCCATGAGCAGAAAGACGTGGAAGGGCACTGGCTGATGGCCGGGGCTGATGCTTTCTCCTGGGGGTTTCAGGCAGGGCCTGGATACCCTGGCCCCCATGGGGCTGAAACACGACGTGGACTTTGATCTCTCGTTAACAGTCCGAAGGAAACCGATCTCAACCAGAAGCCAAATCTGCTGCCGAGGACTAATCGCTAGGCCCCACTATTGTCAGGGGAGACCAAAGCTGGAAGTTTCCTCTCTAATTCAGATTGAGGCACCTCTTTGAATTCTTATTCCTATCGCCCGCTGAGTTCCTTCAATTGCCTTTCCTTTCCTTAACGTTTAAGCAGCTATAATTACCTGGCATTACAATAGTTACCTGGGTTTAATTTTTAATTTTGTATTTTTAAGGAGGCCTCATTTTAGCTAAGCAATTGCAAACAATAGCTTGATTATATGTCTAAATTCCTTTGACGCAGGCAATTGTTTCTTTCCCAAAACATGCTCTGATGCTATCTGAATATTGTAATATGTCTCCCTTAGCAGTTTGGCTTGGATCTCACCCACTGAAGAAACCAACTGCAAATACTTGGCATTCCTGCTACCTCTGGTCATCCACACCGGCTAACCTTCATTTCAGCCTTAGGCCTCAGGAAACCTGGACAGGAAAGACCAGGCATGTTTCAGGTCCTGAGGCTCTGCTTCCTCATAAACAGCCATTCCCTGAGGGTGCAGGTCAGAATGTTGCCACCCGGTTGGGTTTCCAATAGTTTGGTTGTGTTTTTTTTCCTAAAGATTTTATTTGTTTATTTTTAGGGAGAGGGGTTGGTAGGGAGAAAGAGAGGGAGAAAAACATCAATGTGTCGCTGCCTCTTGTGCATACCCCGTACTGGAGACCTGGCCCGCAACCCAGGCATGTATCCTGACTGGGAATCGAACCAGTGACTGTTTGGTTTACAGGCCAGAGCTCAATCCATGAGCCACACCAGCCAGGGCTCTAATAAAGTTTTTTTTCCCATAGTAAGATATGCATAACATGAAAATGAACCATTTTAATCATTTAAGTGTATGATTCAGTGGCATTAAATACATCCATAATATGATACAACATTTACCACTATCCACTTACAGAGCTTTTTTGTTATCCCAAACAAATGTTTATATACATTAAACAGTATTCTCCTCTCCTCCAGCCCCTGGTGCCTCTATTCTACCCTTGTCTCTATGAATTTGCCGATCCAGGCACCTTGCATAAGTGGAATAAGATAATATTTGTCTTTTTGTGTCTGACTTATTTCATTTAGCATAATGTCTTTAAAATTCATCCATAGTGTAGCCTGCATCAGAATTTCATCCCCTTTGATGGCTGAATAATATTCTCTCATATGTGTATAACATCTATTTATCCATTCATCTGCTGATGGACACTTGGGTTGTTTCCATCTCTGGTACTTCTCTAATAATATTTAACATAACAGATGGGATCTGGCCCCTCGGTGGCCCAGGACCAGCCTGACACCTACCCTTTACTTTATTTCCTTCTCTGGAAATAGGACGTCATGCACAGCAACCTCGACACCAGGGCTCTGAAGGCAGGCGGGGGCTGGACAGGGTGAAGGAGGGGACAGCCGTGGTCGCTACGGACCTTCTCAGAGTTATGCCTGAGGGTCCAGCCGGTCAGAAACCGCTCACCCTTGGCGGGTGGGGCTGCACAGCATAACGGTTCGACTTCATGCTTTACAAAGTGTCCCTCTGATATTCCAAGTACCCGCCTAGCACCACACACAGTTATTACAATATTATTGACTGTTTTCCCTTGGCTGTTTTTACCTCGCTGTAACCATTTTGTAACTACCAACTTGTCCTTCTGGATCCCTTCACCTTTTTCACCTGGTCCTTCCAACCCCCCTCCCCTCTGGCAACCCTCAGCCTGTTCTCTGCATCTACGAGTCTCTTTCTATTTTGTTCTAAACCCATTTATTTCATCACTCACTCTCTCATTCCAATATTATAAAACATGTGGTGGCAAGTAAAACAGTCCCTGCCCACCCCAGCTTCCCGCCACTGGAAGCAGAGACGTGAATGTGCCCAGGCAATGCTTAGGGCTGAGCGCACGAGGAGGAAGGGCACGGGGTACTGTGGGGACACACGGGGGGCATCTCACCTGTACTTGGGAGCCAGGGATGAAAGCCACGCCTGTGCCAATTCATATGGGAAGGGGAGAAGGTAGCCTGTTGGAGGCAGAGGGCGGAAAAAGTGAGCCAGGGCTAGGTAGGGGCATGCAAAGGGCTGGCACTGAAAGGGAGAACCTACAGTGAGCTCAGGGGTGTGACCTGCTCTCTCAGGTGGGGGTGCCAAGGTTGAGGAGAGGCAGAGAAGGGAAAGCCACAGGCTGGGGCAGGGTCCACCTGGTGAATGACTTCCTCTGATGTTTGGGCTTAACCCTAGGGCGAAAGAGAAGTCCCGATGGCTGCGAAGCAGGAGACAGATCAGGAGAAAGTAGATCCTGTCTCTCCCTTGAAGGAGGCATCCAGCTGCAAATCCTAAGAGCCAATGTCTGTTGGGCACTTCCTGAGTGCCAGGTGCTGCTCAAATGCTCCATGCCCATTATTTCAGTTAATCCTCATTACTGACCAAGGTGACCGCGAGCAAAGTGAGGCCAAGAGGGAAATGGTGCCCAGGTTGCACCCCCAGATCGATTACGGCAGTAATTCTGGGGCTGCGCCCCTGGCGTGGGAATCTTTCCAAATTCTCAGAGTGATGTCAGCCATGCCCTGGCGTTAGGCTGCCCTGTCTCCAGGGAGGGCAGGCCAACTCCTGAAGGGAGCATGGGGCGCAAGCTACCGGGTCCACCCAGCTGCCAGAGGCTCTGCAGCTTTAAGAATCGGGGCTAGCTGGCTGCCAAGGAAGCCACCCACCATCGTACAGGCCACGTGAGTGCAGGCTGCCCAGTCAGCCAATAGGCACACTCAGTGCTGGGACCGGCCTGGGCTTGCAGACCGAAGCTCTGCAGAGCAGCCCCGGGGGCGCAGGCGAGCCAAAGAAAGAGGACCTTTATGCCTTTTTGAGGGAAGCACATTCTGCAAAGCTGTGGAAACAAAGAGAGGAACTGTTTGTAGCCCTAGTCCAGACGTCCCAAACAAACGGTAAGTCCAGGGGGAGAGCACAGACACAGCACAGGCCTGCCCTCCCAGCTCTCACCCAGCCATACCCCCCACCCCTCCCACCCGAGGAGCCAACTGTGTGCAAAGAGCCCACCCCCAGGGAGGGCACAGCCAATGAGCAAGCAGAAAATTTCCCAAAGTTCTCCAAGGGTGGGAACTTATCTCCCTTTGAAAAGTCAGGGCTCAGCTCATGACAGGTAGTGTGTGAGGATGGACAACACCTCAGGTGTGGGTAGCATTTCTCCTGCTGGTCCTCCTTCCTGCCTGGATCTCGTGGTCCATGTCATTGCCCTGAGAACCCCCAAGGTCACGTGAAGGCAAAGAAAGTGAAACTGAAGCCTGTCCGGTATCTGCCAACCTTTGGGACAGGAGCTTGCTGACAGGCAGGGACATTTGAGAAGAGGAGGCGGTAAGGCAGCAACCAGGCCATCGCCTCCACCTGGGGCGGACCTCTGTACATTTTCTTCAAGGCCTTGTCCTGACCGCAGGTCTGCCGGTCTCAGTCTCCACTGGGTGGGGTGGTCTAGGACCAACGTGGCGCAAGCGACTGCAGTGGCATGCTTCTGACTTGTACACCACCAAACACCACAGGCCAACCCCCGTGGCTTCCGGGTATCTCCTCCCTGGCATTCTGTGTGCCTCCCTGCCCCCTCCTTCATTACAGACAATCGAGAGCGAACTGTAGTCCACCTCACTTCATGAGAACACATGCAAAGATTATCGCGGGGTGCAGCAGGCAGCAGGCTGAGGTTCTGTCCCTCGGCAGAAATCAGAACGCTGGCTCTGATTGGCATGCAGGGAGGGAAGCTCACTTGTGTCTCCAAAATAACTGGGTACAAACTAAAAGGAGGGGGAAGAGAATTTCCAGAATTGAAAGCAAAGGGAAAGCTGGCTGCCCCTGAGGGGTAGAGCTAAGGGAGGAAGAAGGGAGAGGAAGGGGCAGGGAGTCAGGACGGGGCGGGGTGGGAGGAGCTGAGAGGAAGCTCAACCACAGTTTGTGCAGAATCTTGATGAAACATCTTAAAGAGTTAAAGGTGACTTCCGGCTGCAGGGTTAAATCCCAGGAGATCAACTGGTGGCCCTTGACATGTTTTATTTGCAAATTTCAGCATGCCTGGAAAATGGGGAAATTGTACTTATGACTCTGAAAGGCGTGTCAACACCAGGCTCCCACCACAGCAGGACAGCTAGAGCTGGAGCTCCTGTGCCCCAAGGTCCCTGCTCACACAGTAGTAGTTTGTCTTCCCAGTCCCACTCCCCAACCCCGGCACCTGCCTGGTTCCCAGAGGCCTTGAAGATTGCTGCTCCTCCTGCACTTGGTGGTAACGATTCTCTTCTACTGAGAGCCTGTGTCTGTGTTTATATGTATGTGTGTGTGCGTGTGTGTGTGTGGGTGCACATGCAAACCACAAACACAGGTACGCTCTCTTCCAATTAATTTCATTTAGTCTGCCCTTTTTCGGTTGAGGATGGCAGATGCACGAAACCAAACGTACCCCTCTCCCTGACCGATTTCGGCAGCCTTTCCAGGCGACCTGCCAAATTGCTAGATGGCATTTGCATTTTTAAAAAATGGAGTGCATTTTGTTATTTTTGGTTTTAAGGATTTCCCAGCCCTCCTAAAGCAATATTTAATTCATGCCACACGTATAGCTCTCAAAGCATTTCTTAAACATACAGCAGTTCATTTTATCATTCCAGCGGTTCCGTGAGGTCGATACTGTGGGTCCCCCTTCCTGGGCTCTCTGTGAGGAAACCAGTTAGTAGAGACGATCAATGACTTGCCTTGGTCCTGCAGGAATTTTGAAGACAAATTAATATCCGGGCACAGCTATCTGGAAAACTCAGCGTGTCCTTTTGACTGTGTGGAATTGTAAAAAGTGATGCTTTAATAAACATAGTGACTAAGGGTATGATTTCCTCCAGAATTCTTGCCTGGCTGCTGGTTAGGCCACTCAATTGCTATGAGTCTTTAGAAAAAGTACTGAATCTCCCTGGGCCTCCTTCTCTGTGAAATGGGGATAACAGCCCTCACCTAGTGAGTCTTGGGCAGATTAAATGAGATAATACATGTTAAGTGTTTAGAACAATGCCTGGCACAGAGTACGTTTTCTATAAATATCACTATCTGTACAAAAATTATTATTCTCTGTACCTTTGGGAAACACTTAGTATTAGGCAGGGGATGAGCTAAGTGGTAACAAAAAAAACCCCAAAATACATTTGCTCAGAAAGGATAGAAGTGTATTTCTCTTTCACCTAATGGCTAAGAGCCATGGTCAGGTCAAGTAAACAACTCTGCTCCACATGATCATTCAGGAACCCAGGTTCCTTCTGTCTGTTTATGTATTCATCTGCTAATGGACACTTGGGTTGTTTCCATCTCTGGTATTTTTCTAATAATATTTAACATAACAGATTGGATCTGGCTCCTCGGTGGCCCAGGACCAGCCTGACACCTACCCTTTACTTTATTTTGTTCTCTGGAAATAGGACGTCATGCACAGCAACCTCGACACCAGGGCTCTGAAGGCAGGCGGGGGCTGGACAGGGTGAAGGAGGGGACAGCCGTGGTCGCTACGGACCTTCTCAGAGTTATGCCTGAGGGTCCAGCCGGTCAGAAACTGCTCACCCTTGGCGGGTGGGGCTGCACAGCATAAGGTTTCTGCTTCCCTAATAAAACAGAACTTTCATTCTTTCATTCCACTAAACCTATTCATTTTTTAAATTTTTATTTTTCAATTTTCAGTTGCCAGTCAATGTTATTTTGTATTAGTTTCAGGTGCACAGCATAACTGTTCGACTTCATACTTTACAAAGTGTCCCCCTGATATTCCAGTACCCGGCCGGCACCACACACAGTTATTACAATATTATTGACTGTTTTCCCTTGGCTGTTTTTACCTCGCTGTAACCATTTTGTAACTACCAATTTGTCCTTCTGGATCCCTTCACCTTTTTCACCTGGTCCCTCCAACCCCCCGTCCCCTCTGGCAACCCTCAGCCTGTTCTCTGCATCCACGAGTCTGTTTCTATTTTGTTTGTTCTAAGCCCATTTAATTTATCACTCACTCACTCATTCCAATATTATTAAACCTGCCTCCAGTCACTTTCTTTGTTGCAGAGGGAGTCTAGTCTATATAGGGAAGTGAGCTTGAACCCTCTGCCAAACACCTGAACCAGTAACTACTGTCAAACCAGGGGCTACTTCAGTTGCCAGTGGAGGCTGGCTCTTCTCTCTGCCCTGCATGCCTCTCTAATCACGCTTGTCCACTTTTCCATCTGTGTGAACCCACCCAGCTGAACCCCACTTCTGGGGCATTTCTGCCCTGCTCCTCCCTGGGATGCTGATCACTGGTCCACCATGTCTGTCTGAGCCATTACAGTCCTGGACCCCCAAGGTTGCCTGGAAACCCTTGCAGATGTCCCTAGATATTTTCTGGTCCCATTGACATCAGCACCTCCTCCTGACTGTCCCTCTTTTCTCAACCCTTCTTTTTTTTTTTTTTAATTCTCACCTGAGGATGTTTATTGATTTTACAGAGCAGTGGAGAGAGAGAGAAACATCAATGTGAAAGAGAAACACCAATTCATTGCCTCCTTGAACATGCCCCAACCGGGGATCGAACTTGCCACCTAGGTAGGTGCCCTGACTGGGAATCAAACCCACAGCCTTTTGGCATACAGGACAACACTCCAACAAAGTGAGCTACCTGGCCATGGCTCAATTCTTTTTTTAACCTCTGTTTCATTGTATCTCGTTGTCAGTAGAGAATCCACCCTCTCCATTGATAAAATTGAACAGAATCGAGCCCTCCTCCCCAGGAAACTTTCTCAGGGTCCTCCAGGCAACTGTGCGGCGTCCCTCCCGCTCCACTTCACCACCGCTGGCTCGGTGCCCGGGAGGAGGGCGTTCCTGCCACCGCCGGCCTTCCCCCGCTGCTGCTCCAGGCGCCCTCCCATCTCCCGCGGAGCCCTCCTCCATTCATTGTTCTCCCCTTCACACCTTCAGCCTCGTGTCTGCCAACAGCTCGCATCAGTACCTAAACAGGTCACATCTCTCCGGTCTGAAAAACACTCTGCTTGTGGTCCCACGTTTCCATCTAACTCTTCTTTCCAGCCTCCCTTTCTCTTTCCCTTCACAGCCGCTTCTGGACAAAACTGTGCACACAGGCTGTGGTTTCCGCTCCCATGACCGAGTGCCCAGGCAGAAGTCGTGAAGGACAGCCACGTTTCAGGCCCCGTGGCTGCTTCTCCTCCCTGGCCTGACGCCATCTTCTTGAGTGTTGGTACCAGTGTTACCCTCCACCTTAAGCTCCTACCCCCATGGCTCTCTGCTCTAGGTTTCCATTCAACTTTGCTGGGCACTATTTTCCATATCTTTCAACTGGAGACTTTTCCCCCCACTCACTCCCATTTAACACTCACTTAAATTGTAAAAAAAAACATTCTTAGCTCAAAGCCTGTACAAAAAAATTTGCCAGCCCCTGGCTTAGTCTATTCTCCCAATATCTACATCTCAACAGTTTTGTTTCCTGCAATATAGCGATGCTAGTGTGGTTTCCTAAAGGAAATCATCTGTGAGTCAGACCAAGAGTCAGATAGGGAGCCGCCACCCACTGGTAACCCATGCTGCCCCTCCTGTACCCACCAGACCGAGCGCAAGTGCCCCAGACACCTGGGCATTGTGACTTGAAGAGCTACAGGCTTAGACTCTGCTCTCTCCTGCTGCCCTCTCCTGGTGGACGGTCGCTGAAGATCAGACGCTGAGTCCTGGTGGAGTTCGTGGGGTTCCAGATGTGCCCGGGTCTGGTTGCTGGTCTTGAAGGTTTGTCAAAGCCTATATAGTGGGAAGTACTGCAGCAGAGATCTTAACACTGGTTGCGGATGGCCAAGTTTATTACTTCTTGTCAGGTCCTAGGACTGTTTGAGTGCAGGTATCATATAAAAAAAAAGAGTTATCATGCATCAAACATTTACTGTTTGCCAAGTATTGCTAAACATATATTATTTCACTTCATCCTTGTAACAGCCACGAGCTCCATATTCCTGGAATTTTCAGCATTCCCTTTGTCCAGGCGCTGAACCCGAGACCCACAGAGATTAGGTGTCTTGCCCGAGGTCCCCAGGGAGTAGGTGGTGGAGCTGGAGTCTGCAGTTCCTCCGTATTTATCTGACTCTAAAACCCATGTTCTTAACTGCTACTCAAGGTTCTCAATCTTGCTTAGGGTCTAATTCAGTGGGAATTGCGTGAAGCCACAAATCCGTGTTTTTATCCAGGATTCTGATGCAGGTGTTCTGGAGAGCTACACTTTGAGAACACTGCCACTCATAGATAGGAACTAAACTGTTTCCAGCCGACGGATATAAATTCAACACCAGCAGCCTCATTCCGGGCAGGAACAAAATACTGGGCCTACCTGTCTTCTTTGAGGAAAGGAGAGATTAGGGGAGGTGATAAAGTGTAAAATCTCTCAGTAGTCCCTCAGGCTTCCCTACCCCACCCCCACCTAAGCCCCAGAAAAACGCAGCTCAGTCCCATTTACCTGAAGAGGTGTAACTCCCCCCTGTGCGGACAAAGAGCCCCGAGGCAAGCGCACGCTGGCTTTGTGAGAGCTCTGAAGTCTAAGGGAGGCCTGGCTGTGCTGAGGAACAACTTCACGTCCTAACTGAAAATGTGTCCTGAGCCACGGGGCACATCCCCTTTCCTCCCTTAATTAGTCAGACCTGGTGCCCCGGCTGTGAGATCTGGAACTGTTCGGGGCTTTGTAGGCAGAGACAAAAGGAAAAGGACTTAGAATCTAAACGCAATGAATCTGTAATGAAACAAAGGCTGGGTTACAAGTGCCCCTTGGCTCACTCTGCTTCCCTGCAGCAAATCTGTTTGGCAAGGAGTGGGGTGGAAACTTCCCCCACCTGGCGGCCGCTGTTTTCTCAGTTTCCGTATTTCTCTTTGGCTGCTGGGTACGGTTGGCCGTAGTCCATGGAGAAGGGGCCAGGGAGCACCAGCTGCTAGGTGGTGCCCAGCAAAGAAGAAATATAGTGGGAGGAAAACAAAACTATGCCCTGTGTTGTTCTGGGTGTTTCACTGATGGGACTGAATCTCCCAGAGAGGTTGGGATTATGTCTTCATTTGACAAATGAGAAAATGGAAGCGCACATATGCAAGTAACGTGTGAGGCCACCCAGATAATAAGACCACCTCGAGCCCAGAACCCAACCCAGAGTCCTTGCCCTTCCCAGGCACATATGTGCCACTTGCCACTGGAAGGGGCCACTGCCCTCTTTGTTTGTTCCTCCGCTCCCAGTCCAAGCAGGTTCCACTCACAGGGCTTGGCGAAAGGCCACTTGCCCTTGAGTCCAAGAATAACGTAAATACAATGAACCATTTTTTAAAATGCGATTATATATGTCAAGCAGTTACTAAAGCGCAGTGCCTGGTACTTTTTAAAGTGCTCAGCAGACCTCCGGGTATTGTCAGACTCCCGGGCTGGCGTGTTCCTTGCTGCAGGAGACTCTGCTGACCATTTCGTAACAAACACTCCTTAAGTAACTACAATGGATGGTCAAAATAGGAAGAAAAAAGATAGGCTTGGACTCAAGAAATTTATAATCCAACTGGGGAATTGAAAGAATATTTAGAAAAAGAAATCAGAACTTACTCGCAGCCTACGTATCTCCAGGATCCTCATTTCTATTTCTGCTCTGACCAATGATGACTTGTGTAGCTTCGGAGAAAATGTCTTCACCTCCTTTTGGGCCTCGGTGTCCTCACCAGGAGAATGGAGACAGTCCTGACCTCAGAGGGCCCTACTGTTAGGGTTATGTCTGTGGTCTGTCCTTGATTGGGCATAGTAGCCGAGGGTGAAGGAAGAAGTAGCATTCGGTGGACTTGCTTCAAGACCTCACTTTGAAGTTAAGCTGTCAGTGTGGCAAGGGCTCTGAGACTACAAAGAGGAAGGAGGGTCCCAGGTGTTTTTCTTTTATCCTAATGCCACAGAAAGCCCAACTCCAATTGGTCCTGACAGTCATTTTGATGGAACCAACCTAGGTCCAACACATGAACCAATCTCCGCTCGCAGGGGACAGAAGCATGGGATTGGGGTAGCTTAGGTTCACAACCAGAACCTTGGAGCAGAGTCCAGTTTGTTGGAAGCACATGGATCCCCAAATGGAAACTGGGCGCTCTTGGGGGTGCGATTTGGCAGGGAGACAGCACAATGCTCACAACAGGGAAAATGATTTTGTGCAATTAAAAGGCACGAGCAAGCTGCGCGTGAGAGTGAGCCGCAGTCCCGCTGGGCCGGGCAGCGCAGTCCTGCGTGGGCCTGTGAGAAGAAGCACCTGAGAGGGCAGTGGGGACCCTGGGGGCCCTGGGGGCTCTGGGGGCCTAGGAGTTTCATTGGCAGAGCATTCGGCGGCAGCAGCAGCAGATTCAGGAAACAGGCCTGTTTCCTTCTATTATGAAGGCTAATCCTTTAGTCATTACATACTTATTCTGCCTTAAAATGTTCCATGGGGTGAATAGAGAAGGGAGTCCACAGTCTCTGAGTGCGCACCATGCACTTTCCCCGAAGTTTCTCCTTCGATGCTCCCAACCTTCCCAGGACACAAGCATCACCCCATTTCACTGACAAGGAGGAAAGGGAAGTTAAGCGGCTTGCCCAGAGGCACTCAGCTTGTAGCTGGGAGAAGGGAGACTGGAACACCCCGGCCTGCTTGATTCCAAACTGCACAGGCAGGCAACCATGTTGCAACTTTTTCCAGTTAGAATTCCATGGTCCAGCACGCCACAGCGAGTCCCCTGGCTGATGACCCTACACATGGTGACACGTGCTTCGGAGCACGGGCTTGTTCTCGGTCACGTGTCTCGTGGCCAAGGCCTTGATGAGTATAGGAAGCTGGGGACAAGGGGCTACTCACGTACCTGCCCCGCCAGGACAGAGGGCAGGGTGTCAGGCCGGGAGAAGCAGGGCTGGGCAGCGCTGTACTGGCCATTGTCTCTGCCTCCTCCTCCTCACGCCCCCCCCCCCCCCCCCCCCCGTCTCCAGCAGCTCGAGGGCTCTGCTCAGCACGTCACACGCATTGTCTCCTCGAACCACCGCAAAGCCCCTTCCAGGCAGGGGCGATGATTCTCCCCGTTTCGCAGACAGGGAAAGCAAGGGACACCACAAAGGCTGAGGTCGCAGCCCGTGGCTCGTCCCCGTGGGGTGCGTATCCTCACCCCCATCTTACAGATGAGTACCTCAGACTTCCGAGAGGGTGACCGCTGATCTCGCCTGGATGGCAAGTGGCCGAGTCCAGACTCGAACTCAAGTTCTGTCTGACCCCAGCAACTGGCAGGGTGATCACTGTCACTGAAGGAAACCTTCGGCGGGGCTCTTTGGCCTGTGGGTCCTGCCCTGGGGAGAAGGTCCCATATGCTCCCAGGAGAGCCCATGATCCCCTTGTTGGAATAGACACAGGTCCTCTCTGGGGTCATCTGTGCACATTGGGATCCCTCTCCCCTACTCCCTGCTTTTTCCGCTTCCCCAAAGGCCATCCAAGGGGCCCTGAACGGGCCCTGGGAGGAGCCACTTCCTGTGCGGGCTCGTCCTGGAGCCTTGGGCACATCACTCCTACATGGCGCTGATGCTGATAGTAAGCCTTTTATTTTTTTTAAGGGCACTTACAACAAAAACAGGGAGTAAGGTCCACGTGAGCCGCAGGGGAGCTGACAGCGGGGAAGTAGATGGCCCCCTCTTCTTTGTGCTCCGTTTTTAGCCTGTGCTTTTCGAAGCAGGTAGGTGCCATGGTGATCGGTGCCATAGAAATAGATGGAGCACACCGCCAGCCCTCCCGTGCGGGGCTCGCAGCTGTTCCCATGGAAACGCAGGCCCGCTGGGGAGAGCGGTTCTGCGGTGCTCTGGCTGCTGCCTGCGGCAGGACCCCCAAAGGGCCCAGCCCCGAGACCAGGGGAGAGGACCACCCCCTGAGGCTTCTGACTTTCTCACCTTGAGAGCCTGCGGCCCCAAGGGCGCCCTCCCTTCGAACCCTTCTCTCTCAGTCTTCCCTGTCCTCCCAGGGAAGTCCACTGTCCCGATCCTGCCTGGATGTGGCGCTGTCGTGGGGTAAGGACTGAGCCCCGAAACTTTTCTGGCCAGGAATACTCAAAAAATGAAACCTCAGGGGATCCCAGCCAGAAAGCAGAACAGGGAAGAGCACAGTCGCATCTGAGACTGTGGTTTCCGTTTTTGAGCCCTCAGGCAGTGCAGAGGCGGGCCCAGCCGCTGCCGTTTTAATGGGCTGAAGACCCTCTGAAGCAACCGCTGGCGCCATCCCCGGGTGTTTCCGTAACCATCTCTGCGTAACGGTTGATGGGTGTGTATACATGAACCTGTTTGGCCAAGCTTAGTTCATTTTTTATTTGGATTTAGGCCTATCGTATGTCTTCTAAAATGTCACCCTCATAGACACGCACCCTTTTAACTTGTCTTACTTTAGGCCTAGTATAAGAGAGTTAAGTTGACATCTGGCTAATGTGGCTCAGTGGATTAAGTGTTGGCTTGTGAACCAGAAGGTCACTGGTTTGATTCCCAGTCAGGGCACATGCCTGGGTTGTGGGCCAGGTCCTCAGGTGAGGATGTGTGAGAAGAAAAGCAACCAATCTATATCTCTCTCACATATCGGTGTTTCTCTCTTTCTCCCTCCCTTCCCTTTTCTCTATAAATAAATAAAATCTTTTTTTTAAAAAGAGGATTAAGTGGAAAGGGCATGTATTATTAGATCTGTCCCCTAATAGCTACTTCTGTCTGTAATGGAGCTCTGATAGGTGTATTTGTTTCCATA